ACACACTTTACTTACAGTGCCTACTGTTCGTTTGACTCAATTATATATCTCTTCACTCTATCTTATCTATCTATCTGCCCGATCTATCTATATCTCTTCAATCAGTCATCCCCACAGGCTTTAACTGCCAGGCTTATATACCAAAAAAGGGGGTGTCCCGAATGCCATAGGAAATTCATGATCATTCACAGGGTACCTTGATAAGTCATGATCCTTCTAGAAACTCCAGCGTCGTGTGACTTCTGCTGTCGTAACAATACTAATCAATCATTGCATTTAGTCTTTCTCCTATTAAACCATAAACATTGCTTGGTTTCTTTCCAATATTTTTACTTTCACAGTAGTTCTCCACATCAACAAACAGACAGCATAATTTGATTTTATTCAAATTGTATATTCAGTGTTGTAGCATCTCTTGGGCTTCATACTTGTGGGAAAAGTTAGCTAAATGCAGAGCAGAAAAATGTCTCAACTATGTTTCCACATTAGCCAGTCACTACATATAGATCATATTGATTTGTGCCCTAAAAACACCAAATATGTTGCCACAATAGCCAGTCACTATATGAAGGTCAGGGTACATTGTGCCCTAAAAACACCAAATATGTTGCTCCATCAGCCAGTCACTACATGAAGGTCAGGTTGCACTGAGCCCTAAAAACATCAAATATGTTGCCACACTAGCCAGTTACTATATGAATGTTGTTTTACTGTGCCCTGAAAACATCAAATATGTTGCTTCACTAGCCAGTCACTACATAAAGGTCAGGTTGCACTGTACCCTGAAAACATAAGTTTTTATAATTTTGAAAACTGTCCTGGTAAGAAATAGAATTGTGAGACTATGAAGTTAAATTATTTGTAAATTATAATATTTTAATAAGAGTAAAAACAAAAACTAACATGTTTTGGCACAATTACAGGTAAAATCTTTCTTATTAGTTACAGCCAACTTGTTTTGGTAAACAGTTACCATCAACAGGGCTAGTAACTTTGTTACTAAAACTAGTCAGCTGTAACTAATAATAAAGATATTACTCATAATATACAGCACAATGTGTTTGAAAAGAAATTATAAGTATACTCTACATGGTAATTATCAGCTTTTTATCATATTAAATGTTTTACTCTGCAGTTCATCACATGTATCAACAATTTCTCCATTGAATCACTAATATTGAATAATACTTGATGTGTTTCTTCATGCAAATAGTTTCATATGTTTGATATAACTTGTGTTTCTGTATTATGATCAACCTATTAAACATTTACCATTAAATGTGAAACTTATTTGAACTAATACACCTTAAAGTAAAAACAGTACACAAATGTCATTTTACCCTGTATGATCTCATAGAGGAAAGATAAACATCATTCTGGAGAATGCAAAGTTAAACTTTGTAGTTGGGAAAACCCAACATAATACTCTGTTTCAGGAAAGTATCAGTTTGTTTCCATTTCTTCTTTTATTAACTATAAATGAGATTGGGTTGAGTATAATAAGTAGTAGTAGTTACATGTTGGTTTTGTGGTGGGTAAAATGTGCTTCTTTTGTAAAAAGTTTATTGTTGTAGTAATTATTTAAATTTAATGCCATTTTAAGACCTTTATATCAGTGTTGACATTAAAAGTGAATTACTTAGCCTGTTTAGGAGTGTTAAAAAAGTTTTTTTGTATGTTATTCTACATGTTTTAAACTCATTTCTCTTATTTAGTGTTTAATGGAGGCTGTAGTTCCATGGACATACAAACAAATTATGACAAAAGATTTAGAAACCATGGATCGTCAAGTTATGGCATTATTGAGGTTTTACAACAAACATACTCTCACAGAAAAGGTAACAACTTGTATTACTGAGTAACCATCAAAAAGAAGTTAAATTTTGAATTTATGTTAAGAAGTTGGGTAGTTAGAGAATACATGTTTTTAACGTCAGGTATTACTACAGCACTTGAAAGTTGGGTACTTAGAGAATGCATGTTCTTAAAATGAGGTATTACTGCACCTGAAAGTTGGGTAGTTAAATAATGCATGTTCTTAAAGTGAGGTATTACTGCACCTGAAAGTTGGGTAGTTAAATAATGCATGTTCTTAAAGTGAGGTGTTACTGCACCTGAAAGTTGGGTACTAGAGAATGCATGTTCTTAAAGTGAAGTATTACTGCAACTGAAAGTTGGGTACTTAGAGAATGCATGTTCTTAAAATGAGGTATTACTGCACCTGAAAGTTGAGTAGTTAAATAATATATGTTCTTAAAGTGAGGTATTACTGCACCTGAAAGTTGGGTAGTTAGAGAATCCGTGTTCTTAAAGTGAGGTATTACTGCACCTGAAAGTTGGGTACTTACAGAATACATGTTCTTAAAGTGAGGTATTACTGCACCTGAAAGTTGGGTACTTACAGAATACATGTTCTTAAAGTGAGATATTACTGCACCTGAAATTTTAAGAATGGAAGTGGAATGTTATGAAATGGGGGTATATAGTATCAGTATATTTGGAAACTGGTTGTTTAGAGAGTTAGGTATTTCATATGAAAAGGGTGATTTCAGAAATTATGCTGAAAAGTCTGTGTGAAAATAAGAGTGTTGTTGTGGGTTATATCTTTAGTTTGGATGTTAGTAGAGTTCACATGATATTAAGATCAAGTAAATTTATGGAAGTAGGCCTAGAATATTCTAGGTGGTGTGGCAAACATCTAGAATTGAGGCATCAGTTATAAATATGAGCTAGTAAAGTTAGATAGAAGAAAAACATCAGAGTAAAGTATTCAAATGTGAATGCCAAATAGTTGCTTATTGAGTAAGTATTAGTGTTTCCATAAGTTTGGTTGTTTTTACAGTAGAGTGAAAGTGAAGTGTTTAATTTCTGAAAACTATTTAGATAAGTGTCAGTTGTCTCCTACATTTAATTACCCAAACAATTAGCTGTGAACTTCTACAAATATCTTTTATTTGTAAATTAGTCAAAGTACCATTAGTGAGATATTTCCCTTTGAATGTCATTTGTATATTTAGGCCTACAAATTAGAATAGAAGTTAAGGGAGCCTGTATAAATGTTAAGGAAGAAATAATAAACTAATATGTTATTGTTGCATAGACCGTATTTAGCCTTATTTTCACAAGTTAATTTAAAAGAACCAGACAAGTGAAAGAATGACATTGAAACAGTATTATTCAACTAAAATAATTTTGTAAAAACAGAAACATCCAAATATCCTTTCCTAAAACTTCAGTTTCTGATCTTGAGTTGTAACATTATTATATGGCTGAAAGAAATATAGAGTAAAATGACTTGCCCAGATGTGGTGTATAAAACTTTGGTAATTACATTGTTATTGTTGTTTAATTTTAATGGAGATTTCTTGGTATCTTTGACAGAGGATTGATGAAGAGAAAAACATAAGTTGATTCTAGGGCATTCCTGCTAGGAGAGACTTTCTCTATTTAAAGTAAATAGTTTTGTTTTTTGATAATATTAGGTTAAAGAAGAGTTGGCTGTTCACAAGAACAACAAATATGTGATAGCTTTTCTAAGAACACCTGGATATGACAAGCAAATCATCAAAGTAGCAGGGAAGGAGCTCTCTGATTTTCCACATATGATTTTCTTTCATAGTGCAGAAGATAATAAAATTGTCTGCCACTGCAGTGTGCCACAGGTTGGTAGATTTAGCTACGTATTTTTTACACTCAAAATTTATGCACCTTTTATTAGTATGTCCACACAGTTACTGAAATTTCAAAATGAAGCACCATATTTCACTAAAATTTATAAAAACCATGTTATGTATAAAAATTGTACTTTTTTTAGTAGATCACCAAAGAATTATGAAGAGTAAAAAAATGAAAAAGGAGTGAACTTTAGCTAAGACTAATAGCCTGGAGAAATGAAAGGATCATCCAGTGTTTAGTCTGGAGAAATATGTTACGTAAAGACCTTCCAATGTTTTCATAGTTTATTAGCATACTGGAAACATAGAAGTATTATAGTTAGAATACAAAATTGTATGAAATAATGCAACACATTAAAAAATTACATTACAGTGTATCAGCATGTTAATATGTAAATGTTTCTGCTTAATCTCATAATTAATCAGCCTTTATTCACTACCAGGCTAGCTTGTTGTTATTTATTTCCTCTTCTCTAGAATCGTAAGCTTTCCTTAATATTCACTGTCCTGCCATGTTAATCACTAAAAATAGTTGTATAGCCTAAAACACCCACAATACACCAATGTATAAATATTTGCCATTTACATTCTAGAGTATACTGTGGATAGGAGGTACATGGAATATTTCACTTTTTCCACAATGTTGTGTAATTTGGTGCTCAGATGGTGAGTTAAGTATGAAACATTTACGCAATGTTGTGTAATTTGGTGCTCAGATGGTGAGCGAAGTATGAAACATTTACGCAATGTTGTGTAATTTGGTGCTCAGAGGGTGAGCAAAGTATGAAACATTTACACATTGTTATGTAATTGGGTGTTCAGACGGTGAGCAAAGTATGAAATATTTACACAATGTTATGTAATTGGGTGCTCAGACGGTGAGCAAAGTATGAAATATTTACACAACGTTGTGTAATTTGGTGCTCAGACAGTGAGCAAAGTATGAAACATTTACACAATGTTGTGTAATTGGGTGCTCAGAGGGTGAGAAAAGTATGAAACATTTACATAATGTTGTGTAATTTGGTGCTCAGAGGGTGAGGGAAAGTATGAAACATTTACACATCGTTATGTAATTGGGTGTTCAGATGGTGAGCAAAGTAGGAAACATTTACACTGTTGTCTAAGTGGGTGCTCAGATGGTGAACAAAGTATGAAACATTTACACAACGTTGTGTAATTTGGTGCTCAGACAGTGAGCAAAGTATGAAACATTTACACAATGTTGTGTAATTGGGTGCTCAGACGGTGAGCAAAGTATGAAACAGATTGCTAGAAATCTTGGACTTTCCATTGATTGTGTGTGCATATCATTATTGGGAAGTATCCTGAGGAGGATCTGACCACTGCATGATGTTGTCAGATGAGCTCTGCTTCCAGCATTGCAGTTGAAACAGGTGCATTTGGTAAGAAGGAGGGCTGGAGGTGTATTGTGGAATTATTGTTCAAAGACAATGGTAAAACATGGTGACTGTAGTGTCACGTCCCATAACGGAACTTCTTACAAGTCGTAGACTGAGTTGTGCCACATCATGTCCAGAATTACTACTTCCACCAAGGATTTGTGGAGTTTACATCCAACATCTGCAGGAAGACTGTACTACATCCCATACATCCAGAATTATTGCTTCCACCAAGAAGTTGTGGAGTTTACATCCAGCATCTACAGGAAGACTGTACCACATCCCATACATCCAGAATTATTACTTCCACCAAGAAGCTGTGGAGTTTCAATCCAACATCTGCAGGAAGACTGTACCACATCCCATACATCCAGAATTATTACTTCCACCAAGGACTTGTGGAGTTTACATCCAGCATCTGCAGGAAGACTGTACCACATCCCATACATCCAGAATTATTACTTCCACCAAGAAGCTGTGGAGTTTAAATCCAACATCTGCAGGAAGACTGTACCACATCCCATACATCTAGAATTATTACTTCCACCAAGGACTTGTGGAGTTTACATCCAGCATCTGCAGGAAGACTGTACCACATCCCATACATGCAGAATTACTACTTCCACCAAGGAATTGTTAAATTTGCTCCCAACATCTGTAAGAATTTACAATCACCAGTACCTGGAAGAGACAAGATAGTGTGTAATCATCTTTCTTAGATTCCTCAAAGTCCCGACATAAATCCTATTGAACATGTCTGCAAACAAATCAATAGGCGGTTATAAAATATTTTGACCACTGCCTGGTAATTGAATTGAACTGAAAGTCAAACTTGTGGAGCTATGCCAAAAACGAACCACAGTTAACTGAAGAACCCTTCATGCTGTTAAGAACCGAGATAACAGATACTGATGTATTTGTTTCTGCTCAGTTTAATATTTTTATTTGAGAGTGAACTAAAGAACCCTTGATGTTGTTAAGAACCAAACTATCAGTTCAATTGAATATTGTGCTGCAGTGTAAAATAAAGAACTGTTCATGTTGTTAAGAACCAAGCTACCAGATACTGATGTATTTGTTTCTGTTCAGTTTAATACTTGTGTTGCAGAGTGAACTAAAGAACCATTCATGTTGCTTAGGGTCAAGTGACTTGATGCTGATGTGTTTGTTTCTGTGCAGTTTTTGTGTTGTAGTTTGGTATGATAAATGTCACTTGCATTTCATGTTAACATGGATATGATGATAATATCTAATTCTTATTTTTAATATTTGTTTAATTTCTATTATAGAACATGGTGAGTTCTACATTTAATGCCAAGCTGTGGATCAAACCGGTAGAAGAAGTTCTTAAGGCAACAGGTAGACCACTAGGAGATGTTGATCACATATTGTATGCTGTGAAAGGAGATAAAGCTGGACATCTACAGAAAGCTATGTCAGCTGCTCACAAGTTTATAGAAAGTGATTATCTAGTTAAGAGATAGAGTAGCATGTAATGAAGAAAGATTTTCGTAGTGTATCAATATATATATAGATGTTTTTCAAGCCTGATTAAATCTTTTATTTAACTCCTAGCATGAGTGGTAGTGATACAATTCAGGATCTGAACAAAAACAACCTTAAGAAAATGAAATATCTTGAAAGAAAATATAGTACAGTAGAACTTTGACATTAACAGCACCATTCTGACTGTGTCCAAAAGTCCTCTATAGCAAGGTGCCCTTACTATCAAAAATGAACTACAGAAAGCTGGATTCCATATTGACTGTACTAAATTTCTGAATTTTAAGACCCCCTATTTTGTTTGGTGTATGCAGGACGAGGGTATTTGTGAGTTGCATGTTGCTATGACATGGAGCATTATCAACAGGAGGTCTCAGGGGGTGGATTACCTATGCACTTTATTATTGTCACAAAGTTTGAAAGTACATCTCTTCAGAGTTTGAACTGCCAAACATTTCACATTTATTTACTGTTAATGAATGAAGTAGAAATCTGCTGAAAATAAAGTAACAAATCACTGATTGTGTCATTAGACTGTTTACATGACATGTAATATGATATTCTCAGGAGCAACTGACTTGACCCCCTGCTCTGAGAACACAATGTGGAATTTATCAGCTTATGTATCCTACAGGGTTTACAACGATAATTACCCAGGGTAATAAGATTGCATTTTGAATCTGTAAAAATGTTTATCACAGTATATTGTTCGGAGCCAATCCAATAAACATTGCAAGTGTTTGAATATTGGTCATCCTTCTGAGATGTTTGTAATTTAGCTGTATACTATACAGGCATACAAAGATAACTGCCAACCTTATCAAGTTATTGTATAGAGAACAAGAATAAAGACTCTGTCCTTAATCTGGAATATCGAGGTGCCCATTATTTCAAGATCTATTTTGGCTACAAGTAGTAGAAAAAAAGAAAGATACTGAAAAGGTCTGCCTTTAATGGCACGGTGCCTGTTAATCAAGGTTCTGCTGTACTTTGGTTATGAAAAGAAAACTGCCCAAAGATCATGGTTGTATAAAGAAATATAATTTTAGTATAAACAAGTATCACTAAAATATAGATGATACACAGGTAACTCATTTTCTGAACTTTGAGAAATGAAAAACAGCATTGCATGACAATCTCATAAAGAGTTTAAATGTAGAAAAATCAACTTGTTTTAACAACCTTCATTATATCAAAACTATTTACATTTCTCATGGTCTCTAGTATTATGTTGGCGATTTTGTAGTTACATGTGTACACAGGCTAGTTAACTATTCCTAGCAATACATGAAGTAGCTTTATATTTGACTTGAACAACTGGTAGTTTGTCCTACATTGTCAAACAATTCAAGTGTACTTGTGTGTTACTCTGAAATAATATTTAGTCTTACTGTTGCTTCAAAAACAAATATAAGTTTATTCAAATTCATAAGATCCCATATATTGGATGAACCGACTTTACAGTTATCTTTGATAGACTAAATCATTATCATGGTCACTTGACCATTAAAAATTATTGAACATGTTTCCATAATTCCAAGACCCACCCACTTATAAACATGAATATGTTGCAAAGTATGTGTTGTAGGATGAGAAAGAGTGAAATAGATGTCTTGTTAACAACATTTATTAGAGAAAGGCATTGGTAGGAAATAAATATAATTTATAAACTCTGTCAGATTATTATTAAAAATAGTTCACGATATTTTTATCCATCTGCCCACCAACATTATTTGAACAATGTTTGATAATTAAGATAAAAAACGTGAATGAACCCTAGCAAATTTATTTATAAAGTTGTTTTATTAACAAACTACAGCGGTTGATTACCTGATTGTAATACACGTTTAATACCCTTTCAAAAGGGTTTATTATTTTTGAAGGCTTTCTTCAATGTGATACACATCTCTGGATTATGAAATAAAATATCAAAAAGGATAATTGTGGCTTTATATATTTAGCTGTAAATGTAACTTGAGACACAGTGTTAAGTATTCTAAAAAAAATTATCTTTAAAATTATGCTGCCAAAAATCTTCATCAGTCTAACTAATGATAAGTGGAAAAAATTAAAGAGTTTGAAAACTGTATGTGAAGAGTCGTGTTAACTGAAAGCTATTTAATATTATGACTTCAAAAAAATTTGGACAAGACTCTGAGTGGGTTTCAGTCAGAAATTGTTCAAACAAGCTGCCTAAATAACCAAATGAAATAGCACAAAAAGAAATCATGTGGTCACTGTTTATAGTTCCTGGAGTATTATAACAATGGGTAAGACTGACTAGCTCTAACAACAACAACTCTTTCACCTTATACCAAGAAACAGTGTACAAAGATATAATTTTTCTTTCACACTAAAAGATACTTTTCTAATCTTGTTTCTATGTGGTGGATTTGAGCTTTTGTATAACTACATTATTTCTGTTATGTGGCTTTGATACAACTAAATATATTGCAAGAATAGTAAAGATAACAGATTTTGCTAAACATAATTGTTAAAAGAAAACTTGTCAAGATTACAAATAAAAAGTTCTCATTGTAGCAAGAATATTTTTAGTCTAATTAATATCGAGTAGGAACAGTAATAATAAGAATGTTCACTGTAACAAAAGTGTCTGTAGTCTAATGAATATAGAGTAGGAACAGTAATAATAAGAATGTTCACTGTAACAAAAGTGTCTGTAGTCTAATGAATATAGAGTAGGAACAGTAATAATAAGAATGTTCACTGTAACAAAAGTGTCTGTAGTCTAACGAATATAGAGTAGGAACAGTAATAATAAGAATGTTCACTGTAACAAAAGTGTCTGTAGTCTAATGAATATAGAGTAGGAACAGTAATAATAAGAATGTTCACTGTAACAAAAGTGTCTGTAGTCTAATGAATATAGAGTAGGAACAGTAATAATAAGAATTTTCACTAGGAATACAGAACAGGAACTTTACTAATAAGATATGTCACTATAGCAAAAGTTTTCTTTAGTCTAATGAATACAGAACAGAAATACTACTTATAAGAGTTGCCCTTACTGCTGTGTGGAACCAAACTGGTCTGTACATGTTACCACTTCTGCTGTGGGGAACCAAACTTGTCTGCTCATGTTACCACTACTGCTGTGTGGAACCAAACTGGTCTGTACATATTACCTCTACTGCTGTGGGGAACCAAACTGGTCTGCACATGTTACCACTACTGCTGTGGGGAACCAAACTGGTCTGCACATGTTACTACTACTGCTGTTGGGGACTCATCTGGTCTATGCATGTTACCACTACTGCTGTAGGGAACCCATCTGGTCTACACATGTTACCACTATTGCTGTGAGGGAACCATCTGGTCTACACATGTTCCCACTCCTGCTGTGGGGGAACCATCTGGTCTATACATGTTACCACTCCTGCTGTGGGGGAACCATCTGGTCTACACATGTTACCACTACTGCTGTGGGGGAACCATCTGGTCTACACATGTTACCACTCCTGCTGTGGGGGAACCATCTGATCTACACATGTTACCACTCCTGCTGTGACGAACCCATCTGGTCTACACATGTTACCACTCCTGCTGTTGGGGGAACCATCTGATCTACTCATGTTACCGATACCTTTTGTTACCGTTAAAAGAAGTGAATTTTTTTACCTAATAATCTAAAAGATACACGTCCAATAATAGAAACTGTTTCAGTAATATTTTAAGAAATATACTTGTGGTTCCTTGATAACATTTTGACTAGTGAAGATCTGTTGGGATTAAGCCTGTTTTTTTTTCTGCTCGTAATATGATAAATATATATATATATATATATTCCACGTGTAAGTCTTGTGAATAAAGGTTTATCGCCGTGTTTGTGTCACATTTTCATTTGCCTCTCTTAATAAGGTAATTCTACTTCCCCACATTAGTTTATACCCTGATTTTCTTTGTTTTTTTATATGCAAGACATTGTATCGTTTATCTTGTTGTGTGAAAACTTGCATTTAACAGACGTATTTTTAAAATCCCCTTTTATTTAAATGTTGTGTAATTTTTATAAAGCACATTTTACTGTTTTAATCCATCTGTAGAAGACGTCTCTAATATAAAAGCAATAGCTCAATAATATTTCGAAACACAGCCTAAATATTCCAGTTGAAAGTTTAAAAATAAAAAAAAAGAACGGTAACGTCATTAAGCACGTGCTGAGCCTAACATATTTTTTATTAAATAATAAACATTTGTGCTATGTTTGAATACCGCTTCACAACCTTGAGATGCATAAACAAACAACATGAAGTGTTATTGAATATCGTACCATGTCAGTGGTTCATTCATTAACAAGGAAATTAGAGTTTTAGGGTTAATGATGTCAACGAAAGAAGGCGAATCACGAGGCATGAAAATTGCTGTTATTTTAACCTGATTCTTGGAAGTAGTAGTTTTACTGCGTTGCCCTGAGTAATAAAATTTCAAAATACTCAACTGATTTTCTTGTCAATTTGGCTACGTCATG